TCTGAAAAACAAAATGAATTACACAATCGGTAATTTATTTTTTTCTATCACAAGCTATGAAAACGAGGGCCGATCTGCTAATTGGGGTGAGACGCCGGTTTATAAACTTTCAATATTATTCTTGTCGGCCTCCCTGGGGCCTAATGACTTTCCTTTCGTAGTTTAATTGCGACCACAGTAATTATATACTTCCATGTAATTTCAGGCCTTGCTGAAAAGTTTAAATTAGTTTACATCGGTGTGTGACGGCTCGATAATTCCCCGGAAAATTTTTTCAGACATTCGATGCCAAAATCAACAGGTATTTTGCGCCACTATGTGCAGAAAGCTCGCGTTTAATTTTCCCGGCATGTAAAAGGAAAATGAACTTCCTTTATCCCTAAGTGCTGCAATTAGCCGCGACATGAATTTGTACTTTATGTCGCGAGCTTATAAATAATGTCTGACATTCCCAAGAAATTTTCGTGTTAGAGTTAGCGAAGAATGACAGCTAAAGCTCTGCGAAAATTATCAACACCATCGAGCTTTTTTCTAATTTGCGTATTTAAAAAGCTCCGTCGGAAGACAAACAAACGAGAAACTCTCGTCACAAAGTTGTAATTCCAAGTCAAAAGCTCTTCCTTGCGTCTATCTCTATATATTCACTATATTTGAGCTGAAAAGCTGTTATTTGTTTTCGGTTCGGTTCTAGCACAAAAGCCGGCATTTCGCCATCTCTTTTCCGAATTGCCTCAAATTGCTTTTTCCGACCGATTCCATAATGAAGCAGGCCCTCCTCGCCGGAATATTACCGTTTGCTTGTTGTAATTTTCCGTCACAACAGTCCAAACACAGGTGGAACAATTCGCACAAGAGGTCACACCCTGCATTTTGGATGTCCGAATAGGGAATCTCCGAAACTAATAGGTTTAGCCAAAAACGAGTAATACATTCTGGGGCTCATTTTTTAAGAAAATAACATTGGTTAAAACTGCATCCAGCTACTAGTTCTTAAAAATTTGTTCAGAAAACTGAAATAACCCAAAAAATAAAATTAATCAAAGTGTCAAAATATGTTTTTCAAAATTAGTACCAAAAATATTTACTAGTTTGTCCAAAAAAGCAACAGAAAAACAAAATAAATCAAGCAAAATAAAAGAAAAACAGAAATTAGACGAAAAAATAAAATTAATCAAAATGTCAAAATAAAAATCAAACAAAAACATGGTTTTCAAAATTGGTAACAAAAATTATATCTAGTTTGTCCAAAAAAGCAACGGA